TGGCTAATTTTCCAGGCTATACACTTGAATTTGTCTTTATTTAGTCATTTGTATGACAGTTATGCTGTTACATAACTTCACAGTGAAAGTATTTACAGTATTCCTGATTAAAACATATAATTTGTCATTTCTTTGCATGATAAAACATACATGAGGCATTTCGTTTTTATGACCCAGCTCAGTGTTTATTTAGGTGATTATATGAAAATTACAAAAAGATTAATGTTTGCATTAAAAGAAACGCAGTAAAGAGATAGTTTGTAGTACAGAATTAAGTGCAAGCTTTAGTGCAATAGTAAAATTAGTTGTAGGCTCTGTGTGACATTGTCTGTAGAATGTTTATTGCAGGGTCAGATAAGTCTAAGATTAAGATGCACCTTTGACAGGCAAGATTCCAAAACTTACATTAGTAAGTATTTATAGTAAGGTCATTGGGGAACTGATGTAATCTGTTATGTCTTAAAATGCTTTTTGATGAGTTGTGAACATGAATTTGTGTAATATCAATCTATAAAGACTCTTTCTTTAAGGAATTGAGCGTCTAGATCAAGCTTAAAATAATCCTTACCTATTGAAAATAGTAACAATCCAACTTAATATGCCAAGCAGAGGTCCTGAAATATGTCTGACCTCATGACGTGTCTGGCAAATTTTGATTCGGTCAGACAAGTATTGCTAATTGTATTACCAAATATCAGAGAGCTGCCAGGCAAATTATATTTTGATCATGCAAAATTTTTTTTGTTTGCATGACGAGATGTCAGGCACAAATTTCAAACTTTCAAGAAGACTGACCAAGTACTTCTATGTTGTAAATAACATTTTGTAAAATGAAGACAATGTAGATCACAATGCAAGGAAAATACATTTTAATTATCTGATAGAATTTTTATATGACATTTCAATAAGATATTTTTCCTATAGTTTTAAAATGTGAACTGAAAAAGATTATAGTGCTCAGCTCCAGGACATGCAAATACATTCACACTATATTTGTTGTCACAAAGTGCAAAAAATTTGTTTCTTCTTTTAAAACATTATAACTATCATTGTTGCATGTTAAAACAAATCAAACTATTCACTTGGGTATATTTCGTTAATGAACAATCATAATTGATCAAGAAGATTGCTAAAGTACTAGTAACCTATGATTAATGGAAAGTGTTTCTAATGGAAGGCTATTGGTTTATGTTATGATTTCCTATCAGTTTCATCTTGAAGGTTTACATGTAAGAAAACATTAGATAGTTCAGTCATATAAATTTACACATTCCCCTGTTTCAAAACCATAAATAAACTGTGGAAAATGAATTAGGAATCAAGTTTTCCATTAAGTTTGAGGAAGTGCAGATATGTTTAAGTGCAAAGTAAATCATTGTATGCTGGTATAGAAAAGATCATATGGCTATAATGTAAAAGGATGAAAGAAATCATCCAGAGATCTTTGATTATCATTAGTTTTCTGACACGGAGCATCCCTTTGTACTTTTAGTTTGATAATCCCCTCACGTGTTTTCATATACTTATCACATGCATTTCTATTAAGTCATGATGCTAATCATTAAGATAGAAAATATGTTTTATACATGGATTAATAAATTGAAAGTTTAAAAAAAAAAGTTTACTTTAAAAGCACATTTGATAATGAGTAATCATAACCTTGGAATACTTCAGTTCATAACATTTTTCCAATGAGTTTTACCTAAATACACCTGATTAATATGGGCACAATGTCAAAGTCATTCTTGTATTATAAAATTCAAATAGAATGACAACATTACCCCTCTGGTGCACTAAACTTTGTCCTCATTTAATAATTATTGTACTTATTACTGATTTAACTGTAATTAGTACCTACTTTAGAAACTGTTGGAGATGGATGATTAGATAGTGCTTTACCTTGCACTAATTTTAACAGTAAATTAACTTCATTTGTTTCTGTAGAGTTTAATCTATTTTAGTGTACTAGTCCTGCTTCTTTAATTTTAATTCACTAAATGATGGTTTCAGTGCAGGAGTTATTTTCATTTGAATAAAGTTGAAGGTTGCAGTTATGGTATAAAAAAGATAAGAGCCAATAGTTTTAATATAAAACCTGGATTGTCATTTGTACCTAGGTCTTTGTTGATCCATGCACAAAGGATTTTACTTTTCAACGCAAAAGTTAATGTATGCGATCTTTTCTGAATGATATTTCTTATGAGTAAGTAAAGTACTATCATTTGTATTTTTGACGTGAATTATGTTTTTTATTTTTTTTGAAGAAATACTCTGATAGACCATACAGTCAGAAATTTATTACAGCATTGTGTTTGTTCTGTATAATTGTTAACACAAATTTCTTTCATGAATATAAGCTTTTAGATTATGAAACCATATTTTATATAGTTTATGTTGTACAACATAAGATCTTTAGACTTTCAAGTGGGAAACATCCTTAACTCTGGTGACTTATTAAGATAGATATGTATGGTTTAAGCTCTAAATGACTCTATGACAGCCTGGTCATATAACAAAGAAGACTTTAAAAGCTTCCTAACCTTTTAGACTTATAGTTCTGATGACCTATACTGAAGGGGAAGGACCATGAAAGTCACTGCACTATGAAGTCATGTATTTTCACATGCACATGGTTCTAAAGCTGGGAGCAATGACATTAAAAGTTCACCTTTTTAATAAAATTTGAACTTTGAATTGTGGATTTACACTGAACAGTTCTTTCAATTTTCACTGTTTAATTCTTTTAAATTCTTTTTAAATTATGAATATTCTAAAGATTCTGCAGGTTCATTAAGTAGTGTATCTTTTGGATGTTAAGCTAACTTAATTCCATCATTTGAGTGTACATGATTTTTGAAAAGTTTTATTAAAACTCTTATGTTAAGCAAGTTCATTTCATTTTCAACAACAGTGTTATTCTTTCCTCAATAAATGTATGCAGGCCTAGTGCCAACTCTGAGGATCTTAAAGTATACAATAGCTATGGTTGACTGTGCAAAAGTAAAAACACCAATAAGTTTCCTACTGGCAGTGTACAGTTGAATGTTCGTTTGTAATTTCGTTTTCTTTTATTGCAATAAAACAGGTTGGTGTTTACTCTAAATTTCAGACAATTGTTGATTCTGTGAATATAAACATTTTAAATTTGTGATGTGTTCTTTGTAAATTAAATACAAACAGTTAAAGGTTGTCTTGTAAAGGCCACCATCAATGTTGGTTATTTCTTCAATTGTTTGATTAATGTTTTCATGTCTGTTATTTAATTGAAACCTTTGGTAAATGATCTCAAAATGAGACATATGCTGAGATCATCGATTTAAGATTGAAACCCTTGATTTACAACTGGACTGAAAATCAGACAACTTCAAGATGAATTTAAAATATCCCAAAATTCATTAGCAGAAAATTAATCATTTCTGTGCAGAAGTTTTTTTTCATTTGAATGAAGTTGAAAATCACCATTTTAATGCTATAAATAAACAAGAAATTTCATTTGAATGAAGTTGAATGTCAAGGGTTTGTCATAAAATAAACCAAGAAACAAATTAGTTTTGATATGTGGATTGTTGTTTGACTGTCTGTCATCAAGTATGGGGTTTGGATTGCCAACTTTAAGTTAGACATTTCTTCTTAATGTATCAACTTTACAATCACTGAAATCTAAACTTTTCCAGGACTAAAATCTGAACTTTACCATGACTTAAAATTAAAACTTTACCAGGACTGAAAACCATAATTTCATGATTTGAATTCTGACTTATAATGATTAAAATCAAAACTCCTTGAAAAAAAAGAAAATTAAAAAGCATACTTATCTTTATTGATTATATAACCGAAGCTCTTACTTATTGCTGTATACTTTATATTGATTGAAGGACATATATATATATTAAAATGTTTGCATTGACCGAATATCACATGTGTTCATGATTGAAATGACTTTTGGAATAAAAGAAATGTTTGACTTCTTGATGCCAGGAACCTTCAGAATAGAGTTGTATCTTTTGTGTCTTGAAAAGCAAGATCTAAGTAATACTTTTTTCTATGAAATCAGGATCCCTGTTAAAATTTTAAGAAGTACATTTTTTTTTACCATTTAATGAGAATGAAACCATGTCTGTTTCATTTACTGATATACTGATTTTAGAATTTCAATTAATCAAGTAATTGAAAATAATTATACTGAAATTGATAAATAAATGTTATATAAGAAATTTGATAAAATGTTCTTAAATAAGAAAGAATGTCAACTGTATGTTAGTGCATATTGATTACAGATTGCTTGTTATTACTAGTAATTTGGCATATTGCCAAACTTTATTTAATAATTTTTTGAAAGTTTGCCTACACTTGAACTTTTTTCCTTAAAAGATTGATATTAGTTTTAATATACACAATATTTATCAGTGGAATGCATGATTAAACAGTTTCTCATCTCATAAAGACTTATTGCATATGTATATGTCTTCTGTTAAAATTAAATAGCTTTCAAAGTATCACAAATGAAGGACATACTTAAAGCTTACATTGAGATTTTATGCATTTTATAAGATATTTTAAATACTGTTAGAAAATGCTCGGAGTGTGTATCTCTCCACAGTACAACTGATTTTTGGTCGGCATGATTCATGCTTATGTAATAACCTTTATTGGATGAGCTGTTGTTGAAATAGTTTGGGAAGTGAAACATGTAAGTCCAAATCAACAAGAGATTACACAGAACAACATGTTAACAGTAATGCTAATTTATTACAGTAAAAGAAGTTTAAGTTTGTTTAGAAAGTATGATTTGAAGAAGATTCATGAGATTATATTTTTGCCTCAAGTTGTCCTCCATAACTAGCCATGTAGACTGGTTCCATTCTTAACCTAAAAAAACTAAGCATATTAAAGAACCAGTGTTCCCTGTTTCATTCATATCACTTATTTTATATTTTGCTCCATTATGCAGAAAGATTATGATTTTCAATATCGGTATATTTTAATTTATATATTTTTAGGCTCCGCCTGGAATTTTGAAGATGATACAGATTCAACAACTTCATCAGAAACAATGACAAGTGTGTCAGATGATGTTCCCATTGGTTCTAGTCAGTTATACTACACAACACCACCTAAAGCTGTAAGTCAATATCCACAACTCAGAGCTTACTTGAGTGATCTATAAACTCACTAGACTAAATTTGAGGCACTTTTATGATGCTTCTTTCCCAAGTTCTCTAAAATATTTTACCTGCATAAAGATTAACATCATCATGCAACTTTTTATATAGCCTCATATGGAATGACTTCATAATTACATAATGCTTTATATTTTGTAATGTCGTAATGGGTTTTACTTGTTGAAGGCTGTATACGTGAGTAACCAATAGTTGCTAACATCTACATCATTGGTCTCTGGTGGATTGTTTTTTCCTTGGCAATTATGCCACATGTCCTTATTTCATATTGATGAAATTGATTATTTAGAAGAAGATGGATAATCCAAGATGGCCATCATTATTGCATCATTTTGGGAAATGCATGGAAACAAATTTCATGTAAAAACCTATTGTAGACTAAATACATATACTATTGTAATTAGATAAAGACTTTCATATAGAAATTGTATTCTTCCCAAATCCAGAATGAATATGAAATAAATGATAATTGTCCATTTAAGATACATGCCTAGTTCATTGATTCAAGGATTGATAAAGGTTTTTACAGAATATGTTTGTTAATTTTATGATAAATTGTATTGGAAAATTAGAGAAACAATAAGTGATAACAATGTGTACATTTAGATCTGAATTATTACATCATAATATTGATACATACTGTGGATTAATATTTACGGGATTTAAATTTTTGTTGATTATTTGAATGTTCAACAATGTACAAACTTACTGTAGCTTTGTATGCTGATTTCAGAAAAACAATGAAGTCAATTATCCATGGAAACTACAATTTTCACTCAATCCACAAAAATTGGTAATCACAAAACTAAATTAATTAAGAGTATTTCTTTTGGTTTATATCTGGTCAGGTGAAATTCTGTATTCTGCTTCATTTTAACTTTCTAGTTACCATAGAAAATGAAAGGATGTGGAGTAAATGTACATGGGACAAAATCGCACACAATACATAGAAAACATAGAAAATTATATTTACTTTTAAAAAAATTAGTTTGTATTCATCCCTTTTCATTACCACTTTGTATTTTATGAAACAATTAGTCTTTTGTACCATAATACTGATGGAACAGTATTGACCTCTACCTACTGCCTCTGTCAATATTGTTTTCTGCTCATATGGACCTCAGGCTATGGCATAGTGTATTTGATTTGACAGGAAATCTTTTTATGAAATTATCAATTAGAAGTCTTTATTTTGGATTTACCATCTTGAAGTTTTCAGCTTAGTCATCTTAACAGTTATGGTAATTAAGAAAAATTTTAATCTCCTGGATTAGAATTAAAACTGTCTATGATATGAGTTGATGAGTCAGTCTTACTGCTGTTACTTCCAGTACTTAGTGTTGTACTGTTTTTTTTTGCATTTTTTGTATGCATCATAAATGAAGAATGTTGCCTATTGCTTTTACAAATTGTTTCCTGTAGGGGTAGATAATACCAAATACATTGTGACATGACATACTAGTGCAGATACACGCTGTGATACTGAACTCAATTTAGAAGTCATTTTGATAGATTCTTGCAGAGCGGGTTTTATTTTTAGGTGGAGAAATGAGTACAAATAGGATATTTGGCAAAGTTGAGAATTAGAAGAAATTAGTGGTATTAAAATCATATAAATGCTGATAAGTGTCAATGCTATGCTTTCAGGTCACACAGTACTTGAATTGTTGCATTACTTAAAAGTAGCTTGTTTCTCATTTGCATTACTCTAAGAAAATTAAGATAAAAAAATTCGTAAGGGTTCCGCGGAACCCAGTGTCTCGCCTACTTTTGGTGTTAATCGCAGGCTCAACAAAAATGAGGAAAAAAATTAATAAAAATATTCCTCTCTATACTATCTTTTGATTGTAAGAAGCTTCTGTCCAAGTTTGGTAAAAATCCAGGATAATTTATGAATCTAATAAATGTTTTAAAAACTTAAACTGCAGAATGTATGTACTGTTGACTGGAAGAAAAACTAAGTCCATTTATAAGTAAAATACAGAAAAAATGGAACAAAATTTTATCAAAATTTCCTTCTAGATACTAGCTTTTGATCATAAACAAGCTTCTGTCCAAGTGTGGTACAAATCCAGGATAGTTTAAGAAAGTTGTTAAAATTTAAAAAACTTTAACCACAGAGTGAATGTAATGTTAACTGGCAGAAAAACTAAGTCCATTTATAAGTAAAATACGGAAAAAATGGAATTTTCTTTTTACAAAATTTACTTTGGATACTATCTTATGACCATAAACAAGCTTCTTTCCAAGTTTGGTAGAAATCCAGGATAGTTTAAGAAAGTTATTAAAATTTCAAAAACTTTAACCACAGAGTGAATGTAATATTTCCTGGCAGAAAAACTAAGTCCACTTATAAGTAAAATACGGAAAAAATGGAATTTTTTTTTTACAAAATTTACTTTTGAATATAATCTTATGATCATAAACAAGCTTCTGTCCAAGTTTGGTAGAAATCCAGGATAGTTTAAGAAAGTTATTAAAATTTCAAAAACTTTAACCACAGAGTGAATGTAATGTTTCCTGGCAGAAAAACTAAGTCCACTTATAAGTAAAATACGGAAAAAATGGAATTTTTTTTTTACAAAATTTACTTTTGAATATAATCTTATGATCATAAACAAGCTTCTGTCCAAGTTTGGTAGAAATCCAGGATAGTTTAAGAAAGTTATTAAAATTTCAAAAACTTTAACCACAGAGTGAATATTTGTGGACGCCGCCGCCGACGACGACGACGCCGACGGAATGTAGGATCGCTATGTCTCGCTTTTTCGACAAAAGTCGAAGGCTCGACAAAAATGATGAGTTGGCAATTTTATTTTAAGAATGTGCAAAAATGTTTTCCTGTTCATTTTCTTTTTGCTACTCGAGAGACCATCTTATTCGACATCAAATGATGTTTACAGTAGTTATTAAACATCTTTACAATTGTAATACTTTTGAGATTTAAAGGATAGGTTTGTTTGACAAAGAAAATGTGCATAATTCGTAACGTTTTGACAGGAAATTTTCCCGCAGAGATGTTTCTAAGTGAATGACTTTTTTTAATTTTCTGGGTTTTTTTTGGGGATGGTGATTAGACTTAATAGATTGTCACTGGGATTGTGACAAATGAGTATGCAATATGATGGAAAATGAATATTTATAGCTTTTGATATTTAATAGGCATGTACAATGGGTGCAAAATGATTATTTTTTATTCAATCTTCCAACATTTACATGAAGTTGTAGGTGGTCAAAGTCTTTTCTGTATACACGGTATAGGCTAGGGGCATAACGGTATCATTGCATTAGGCAAAATTGTCAGTGCAGTGAATGGGCTCATACTTTTTCAACTTAATCAAAAAGACAAACTGTCAACGATTTTATGTAAGTAGATAAAATTTACTTATTTCCAGAAACAAAAACTAAATCCTTTATTTATTTTTTATTAGAGAATAAGGTTTTCAAAAGATGTTTTGATTTTTGTAACTCAGTAAGGCATGAAATTGAATTATCTTTTGTTTTGTAACTTGGTACTAGTGTGCTTTGTCTGCACCATCAAGAATAATTATACCATGAAAACCAAAGGGGACAAGGATTGTATTGCAGATGAGTATATGATTGAACTATAATTAAATAAACTGTTCCCATTTTAAACTGGAGGGATAAAAAACAAAATGCTGTAACTAATTTTATTTAAATCATATATTTTCCTGGGTAAGGATTGGTGGTTCTCTCCAGGCACTCTGGCTTCCTCCACCATTAAAACCTACCGCCACAAACTAACTAGCCAATAGTGCTGAAAGTGGCTTTCAAACACCAACAATCATTTATTCAATCAAATTATATAGAAGTGAAGAATAGTGCAAATTTTTTTTTTTTATTGGGAAATTTTTACAGATTAAACTTATTGTTACTTGAATTGGTGAAAAAATTTTCATTTTGAAGCAAAACTAAATGTCAATGAAAAAAGAATTTTTAGGTTGTGAAAACAAGAAATTGTCCACCCATAAACTGGCCATTGTGAAATAAAGATAACCTTTTAAAAAAATTCCTATGTATAATTATTTACAAACATGTGAGCAAACAGAATTAGGCAAACTAGAAGTAAAAGGACTTAACATCTAACATCTTTTTCATTATGGTTACACCAGAACCTGGCTATATATATGTATATACCACCCTCTTATGGGAAACCATCATTAGCTTACTTCAGTTATCATTCATCCAAACATTGACCTCTTTTAAAGAAATATGGCTTGAAGGAAAATTGTAGTCTGGTTTAGTGGGTAGTATTTCCAGGCAGTTCAACTATCATGGGAAATCACTTGATTTCTTATCAAACAGTTGTTATATTGAGGGCTTTCTACTATTATGAAAATAAGAAGATGTGGTATGATTGCTGATGAGACAACACTCCACCAGAGACCAAATGACATAGAAGGTTAGCAACTAAAGGTCACCGTACTGCCTTCAACACCAATACAATGAGCAAAACCCAAACCGCCATGTTTCTCATACATGTACTTGATCCATGCATCTTTTTAATTGGTAAAGTTCAGGGATCCCAGTAATTATTGATTGATTGGTTGTTAGTGTTTAACACCACTTTAAGCACACTTAGCTATATCATGGCAGCAACTTTTATAGGTTGAAGCAATAGTGAACGGAGAAAACCATTGACTTTTGCATGAAAATTTCTCTAATGAAACATGAAGCAAAAGGTTAAGATGACTATAAAAACAAAGGTGGATAGGCTTTTAGGGGAAATAGATAAGATGCTTTATATCAAAAGCGTTGTTTAAAATTTAATAGTTTAATAGTTGCAAATTAAAAAAAAAAGAAAAAAAAGAATCATAAAATGCTCCATGTGTGGAAACGTATACAATTTCTGTACCGAATGATTCTTTCACTCTTAGTTAATAGTACAAAACATAAAAGTTCCATTTAACCTTTGATAATCATAATTACTGTCAAGCTAACTCGCCATTAAGGTTATGATATGCATATAAACTGAGAGAGAGTAAAAAGTGAACGATAGAAAATCTTACATCATCAACTGCTGCTTCCTGAAAGAAATCCTGTCTGTCGATGTTTCATCTTTATCGTTCTGATGCTGTGCAGGAATAAAAAGTAGAAGAAACCTAATTACACCCGTTGTGAAATAATAAAGTTTATCCCCTCTTGACGTTATTGTCTGATTAGGTTTAGAAGGGTCCTGCTGGGAACAGATATCCGTAATCTTAAGATGTTTCTTTTCTTCAGAAAAGGTAGAAATAATTAAGTTGATTAGTCCCATCTTTTTATATTAGATAAAGGTATTTTGTGAATGCTTTGAATCAGTTGGCCAGGTGTGATTTTTGTCTGTCAGTGTTCTGTTGATTTCTCCTCCTGAAGTATTCATTCTTAAAGGAGGAAATTTACATTGTTTATAATAAAACTTGTTTAAGTTTAATAAAGTGACTGGAGTTTTTAGTGATGAAAATGCATTATAAAGTGAAATATTTAAATTGCAAATTCAAACCAAGGGTATGTATTAACATTTGTTTTATTTTAAGCCAATTGTAATTAAGTTTGTGTTTTTGCAATTTGCCTGCTTTTATTTTTCAAACATGTTCTCGATCTGAAAAATAATTTTTCACCATGTATCTTTTGAAAAAGATTGCTAGAAATACAAATCATTTGCAGAAAGTTATCAACTGTTTAGCTTAATTTTTTATATGTATATAACGAACAGTTTTCCCCTTATTTTGAAAATCAAGTTGAAACAAGTGAAAACAGTTACCTCCCCTTACTTATGATATTGTCTGTTTTTTGTTTTGCCTGATGTTGTTTTTCATGAATGTGAAATAAAAAACATACTATTTTTAGTAAAATATGTGGAAATCGTGAGCATATAAACTTGAGCTCAAAAGCCTGTTAATGAGCTTTACATTGTACAGTCTTTTTTAATAACTGCTTTTCTACTATATAAGGAATTATGCAGGTATAATGTTGATGAACTGTATTAGCTTTACATGGGAATGAGGGTATTTATATAATGATTTAATGTGAAGGTCTGGTGTTGAATGTTCATAAATCTGAAAAAAATCTATACAGCATATACACTCAGTTTCAATGGTAAGCTCAAAATGGAAATTTTTAGAATTGTTTACATTGTTGTTTCAATTGTATCAGTCAAACCGTCTTTATTTACTAACTCTCAATACATCATCATAGATCATATTAATATTTGCATAAATTATTTTGTTATTTTATTTTTGTAGAACATGGTACGCAATCAAGACGACAAAAGGTAAATATGCTTACAAATGTCTATTACAAACTGATTTGTTACTAAACAACATTTTACCAGTACTTGTGTCACACTCATGATCTTACTGTAAGGTTACAGACTGTTTAGTCCATCAGTGAAGATCTCATAGCAACTGTGAAGTTGAAGAGCAGCAATTTCATTTTCTTTAATCTTTAGATAAAACAATTTAATATGAGGAAGAAGTGCTCAATTAGGTTAAGAAAATCAATAAAAAGAAAAATGGATATACTAGTTAATCCAAAATGGTTGACTTTTTACTACATTTCGATTACGCTATCCTGTTGATGGAGGCTACCAAGTTGTAAAGCATACAATTTCCCACAAATTTGTATATATGATTACCAAAAAGTGTCAGGCAATCGATATGGCCTTCATCTCTTTCGTGAGTAACATCTGCCTCATACTATTCATCTAAACTCATCTTGTATCCCTTATGAAGTTTTAGTTCATGAAAAGTAAAGAAGGATCCCCCCCGGGTTGATTCAGGTATCATCTTCATTGTTTTTTTTAAGGTAATCAATGTCAAGAGGTTTTTCAATTGTGATGACAGGTTTCTATAATATGGATTATAAGTAATAGTTTCTGTGTAGTTTTTCAGTTTTCCTGATTCTCAACTGTCAAATAGTTGGATTTAAATGTTGTTTAAGTTAAGACACCAAAGGATGAAAAAAAAATTAAGGAAAATATTTTAACTCATCCAGGAGTGATATATCACGTTTTCAAAATGACTATATCCTAGACATAAAAACTTGTAATATATTTAGGTTTAATGTTTGTTGAGAAGAGTACTTAGATTTATTTATTTTAAACATTCTTTCCTAATTTTTAAAATAAACTGTCAATATGACCCTTAGAGATCTTATGACAAATATTTTGATATATGAATGCTTGTTTATTTTTTGGTCCCCATGTTTTGTCACCAATTATCCTATGATTTACTTTGGACCTAGATCTGATCCATGATTTTGTCCTTTTACATTTACTCTTTTGTCAATAGGTAATTGACCAGAAAGAATTCAACGATGAAATATACTCAAATGAAAGATCTTTGAAGATAGAATAAGAGAGTGTCCTTTTGATGAATAAGTTTTTTGACACTTTTACTGATAAAGGATGTGTATGGTTGAAAAATATGTCATCATTATCTTTTGAATGATATTTAATATTTCTCATTTGATATTTTTGTACGTTAATTGCTAGAGTAAATCCATAGAGAATTGTAATGTAAAGTGATCATTCTTTCACACATATTTTAATGGAATATATTTACGTGACATCTTTTTGGTGCAAAAGGAATTTCTCTTGTCTAGTTTCAGTGTAGTGGTAATCTCATGTATCTATATATGGACATTAAGTGTGAAAATAAATGATCCATATGCTTATCTATGACAAAACTTGTCAATGTATATAAAACCCTTAGGAATGATAGGAAATCATATTCAAAAATATCGATAAAAATAACAGTTACTTGGAGCTATTTGAATATTGGTACAAATTTGTCATTTACACAAGTTGATAAATATTGCTCTCAGTTAAATAGATCATTTTTATTTTTTCCAATAAAAAAATAACCCTGAGAACGAATGTTGTAAATTTGCATTTTTTGGCTCAAATTAAATATGTATTTAGGGGAAATTGTTCTTATCACATAAATAATAATAAATAATAATCCCTATTCTTCCCTATATGCAAGACATTGATTGACTTTATATGGACATCTGATGGTGGTGTAATTCAAAATATTAGTTCTCTTGATATCTGGTAAGTTAAATGTTAAAAGTTGGACAACACAGTTTTCTGTGTAATTTCTAAAATCAAAATTCAGGGCTACAGAATTGTAACTTTTATTTCCTTTGGCTTTTTGTGATTCCATTTGTCCTATCTTTAAACCTTCAGTTGAGAGGGCAATCAGACACTGTAAGTGCAAAATTAAAGAGAAAAACTCCATGGCCAAAAGAATAAACAAGAATAAAAAAGAACATAGAATTCCCCCAAATACCACAAGTAAAACTGAAGATTCAACAACATAAAACTCACCAAAAACCGTGGGTGAAATCCACCATTTCAAGAGTGAAAAAATGAAATCTAATTTGTTAAATCATTTGTTTTGAATGATATATTCACTGGCAAATTTTATGTTGTACAAATTTAATTCAGTATTTATTTCTGGCTAATGAAAGGGTCTTTCTTTAATGTTAAAGATGACTGACTAGATCTTGTAAAAGTGGATGATAAATAATGGCTGCACATATCACAAAAAGTTCATGCGATGCTACAAGAAAATTATAGTCACAAGTCTTAATATATGTCAGTAAAAACAATGAATTTTGATTGTAAATATGTTGGTGAAAGATCTGCAGTCCAGATGCTGTTGTAGAAACCCATACAGTGTACAATCTTCAGACTCATCTCCTTTGTAAAAAGGCTAAAAAAAGTTAATTCATTGAAAGTTCACAACTTATTTAATTGTGTATAACTGGGGTTAAAAGTCACTTCTAGGAAAAGGAAAAAAATTGGCCACACTGGTAGTTTGGGTACACTTATCTTGGATCTACCATTTAATGACTTACAACTTTGGAGGAACAAGATGACTGAGTCTTGTCCAATCTTGTATAGACACCTATCTAATGTTGAAGTCACTGCTTGTTGTCATCTAGAGGTGGTTTGGTTATTTCTTTTTCATTTGGTTTGCTGTCTTACTGAGGTATACCCCACATCTCCTTTTATTCATATTAAATATTTGAACTGCCTCGGTGGTCTTGTAGTAGCATGTTCACCTCGAGTGCGGGAGGTCGTGGGTTAGAACCCCTGCTGAGTCAAACCAAAGACTTTAAAATTGGTATTTGCTGCTTCTCCGCTAAACACACGGCATTAAGGAGTAAAAGCAAAGACTGGTCGGCTCAAAAGACAGAATAATGTGTCCGAATAAGGTGACATGTCTTCCTGCGGACTGTTACCTTGTGAACTAGCACGTTAAAAATCTGGCTCAGCGTGTCGGTCTAGTACAAAGCAGGGTTATTATTCATATTACATTAATATGTTCTCATCCTAAATATGCATATTAATTTGCCGCTAGATGTTAAGCAGCCATCCATCATCATCATCATCATCATTAAATATTTGAATAAAAATATTGTTCCATACATTAAAGCTACTATAGTAACTTGAGATCACTGTAGTCTCTGAGAGTGTATGAGTTTCATTCAAGCAGGAAATTAATTATAAAATTTCATCCCTTGGACAATATTGGATGTAAATTTTTAATGTAATCCATGATTTATCATTGCACTACTTATGTAACATGAAGAGGAATCTTATGAATGAACAATTAACACTGTTGTAGGAAATCAGTTAATTTTGTTCCGTTGTTTCAAAAATCTGTTTTAAAATCAATGATTTTTAATGAAAATTTGATAACGCTTATATTTGATACATATATTGTCACATGTGGAGTCATTTTGAATTAAGACTTCATCTCAAAATGGAAATGCATTAGATGCAAAATTATAAATATTGTGCATTAAATTGATTAATTGGTCATTCTATCATATAAAAATGTCACGATATTGGTACTTAATTATGATATCAACAGATATAAGATAGAGGTATATTTTTGTGGATATAGGTAAAGATAGGGGTCAAATTTTAAAATGTCTTTTTAGCGGTTAAAAGAATTATGCTTTATGTAATAAGAGAAAATGTCAATAGCCATGACATCAATTTTCTTTTAAAGAAGATTCATGTGATAAGAAATAAAGAATCTAATATTTAGAAATTTGATCATTTAAGTAGGTAGTTAACCAAAAGAATGCAAAAGAGCCTGAACTTTTAAATATACAATAATGAAATGTTTTGGGTGAAAAATGAACAAGAAAAAACATGTATTTCATAAAATGTTTTAACTGCTTAGACTGTCAGTTCATAAATTGTATTATATGGCACGCTTTGAAATAGAATATTTTATTTTTGTTTGCCTAAAGTTCAAGATTTGAATTATTTATCATGATTGTGGTGCTTATAATGGGGTCACAAAGAGTTTAATTGCAGGTTTTATGTTGTTCATCAGTAATTCATACCATTTAATTAGCAATTTAAATCTTTTAATAGAAATATGTTATTTTATCTTAATTTTTAAATCGCATAAAGTAGAACACTGTTGGTATAAGTTAGTCAGAGTTGACTCCCTTGAAAAATTTCTTCATAATGTAAGGGAGATAAATCTTGTCATCTTAGTATCAAAGTTTTGATTAAAATAAAATTAAACATTACTATATATATTAAACTAACCGCTGACAGTGATTATGATTGAAATTTGTATTCATTTAATGTCATTGACTTTTATTTAAAGTTTAATAAATGCTGAGTGGTATTTAGGGCAGAACATTTATTGAAGGATGACTTAGCAATTGATGTTAAAACTTCCCAGGTATTTACCCTATCCATTCCACAGCTGAATTAATGCTTTGAAAACCTTAACAATAAAATATATATTTTGATTTTACTTTCATTGAATGACAGAATTACTGTAATTTCAAACATTTGATAGGCTTTTTAACTCTTTGTGGTGAGGGTTGATAAAAGAATTAAATAACAACACCTCTTGATAATACTCATTCATGCTAAAGTACGTAAAAAACTGGCACATCAGAAAGAGAAACTATGGCCTACATGGTGGTATATTTCTAGAAGAATAATTTAACTTGAATTTAGCATTATATTTCAAAACATTTGAATTAAAAGACTATTTTGAATGACTTTGTACAAATGAGATATGATGTCATTTCATGATTTGATGAAGTACTTGTTATATATTGTTGTGGTTTAAATATCCATCCATTATTTTTGTTAAAAACGTAAATGATTATTTCCGTTAAAAAGTGGGATTTGCTTTCTTTGATTCTTTCATTTGTTGGCTTCATTCAATCAATAACTTTTTACGTACAATAACATTAGGTATGGTTCATTCTTTCGATAATGGTAAAACTTAAAAATATTTTGTAGATCATTTTGTAGAAAATAACAACAATGATATAACGATGTCATTTATGTGCTGTGATGAAACAGAAAATTCAACAGATATTTAACATGTACTGTATAACATTATATGTATTTTTTAAGAATAGAAAGTGTGAAATTCAGTTTTTGATTTATTTATATGTTTCATATTTGTTTATTTATTTTGTGTATGTTTCAGTGTTGGATTTCACAAAGTAACGAGATGCTTGAGTCAAAAAGATAGAATAAAGAATGACGTGTTACAGGAACGACAACGATCAGTCAGTCTGGATTGGTAAGGATTTCTATAAATAATATATTTCTTAATTGTTCAGTTGTACTGAAGAAAAAATTGGAGAGTTTGGAAGGGGCGTCATTGTATTGCCAAATAATGAATGATTAGAGTTTTTATTTTCCCAGGTTTATATTTTCTACTTTGACTGAATCTTACCTTTTATCAGCAATTTGTACATTTTCTCTTTGATCTTACTGCCTAATATATTTAAGATCATGGACAGGACTTGATACTCGAAAATATTAGGCGATGACGTCATGAATCAATGCAGCAATGTCACATGCTCAAGTCCATCCTCATCTATTTATCAATGAAATGCATGCGACTTCATCAACCATCCCAACATTTTGTACACATTAAAGTAGTTTACTATTTCATATTCTCAACCAAAAAAAAAACAACATACAGTTGAGACAAATTGCCGATAAAAAGAATAATGGCATTTTGTTATTTTTTGATACTGACTTCATCAGCTCGCTCTAGCAGGCTCCCTTGATATTCTTGCTGATAAAGTCAGCGTCAAAAAATAAAATGCCATTATTCTATATATATGATAATAATAACCTTACCCAAACCAAAAACCTTTAACATTAGGGCACACATTAAAGTACATGGATAATAAGTTTTTTAAAGCAGAAACTAGAAAATACTAACATTATCTTGTATACAAAGGGGAACAACTGGACAGCTAACTTTGACTCTGTTCATAAACAAATAAATATTTATTCTGTTAATAAAACCAATTGACATCATGAAAAGTGCTTTTAAGAACAATATTGTCATTTGTAAGATAAATATACTTAGCCCTATGTTTACAGAAATTAGTTACAGGATAAATAACTTACGCTGTTCAACAGGGGTATTACAAATTTCAAATAATATTGGGAGTGATTGGTATGTCCTACTGTGGATTTAGTAATCAATAACTGTTCCTTTAGTTCGATTTGTAATTTACATAAAGTAGCCTTTTATAAGTAATAAGGTTTTACTTTCAAATAAACACCATAGATTTATAAATAAATATAGTTACATTAAGTGTATTACTTTCTTAAAAATATTTTCACTCTGAAAATGATCATATATTTTTACTGATAAAATATTGATAGGCATTTAATCCGAGACCAAGTTTGTAAAAATTGCTACTGTAGAATTTTGGCATAACATTTAACCAACTTTAACTGTAAAACAGCTGTTAATATCATACAGGGTATGAAAGTATTTACATTAAAAGATGTTTAAAAAATTCACAGACTTTAATTTTAGATAAACATGGTTAGTTAAATTTAAATATTTCGATTATAACAGCTTATGATGTTAGGGATTTTTACATTGGATTACTAACTGAGAGAGGATTAGTATAATATATACACAGGATGACTTTACAATCTCACAAAATGGAACGTGACTTCATAAATATGACCTAAAGGAGCTGAGTCGCGTTTGAAGTTTGCAATGTTCAATAGAAGTATTAAATATTTCTTCACTCTTATTTTATAGCATTACCTTATTAAATACATACTGACAAATTAACTATTGATTCACCTGTATATTGAGATATGGTCGATCGTCCGCGATATCTGTTCCAACATGTAATTTTTATATATTTAAATTTCCCAGTGAGACAGATTTCTTAAAGTGTTGATAGGAATTACCTGCCATTAAATTACCTACATCTCGATAACAAAAATGTTTGATCCTGTTGTCAATTCCTTCTTTTACCTGAGTTTTAATTTGATTGATCAACTATGTCAATTTTTATGTAAACATTTATAGTAGTTTATTTCTTCGTTAGACTTTATTATTTTCATTGTGTGATAAATTTCAGGAGAAAAACTTATATTCTGTGAGTAATTAATGGTAATTTATAGGGTAAAGGTCATATATTTGGTTTTGTTTTGAATGCAAAGGGTCATTATTAGTTTTAGTTACTTTTGGTATAAATGATTCAATGTATTTGCAGGTGATTTTTGTGGCATTCCTTGTAAAATATAAGAGTCACATTGAAAAAAAACTTGTATGAATTTTACCCCCTGTAAATATAACTTAAGCATGGGTAGGGGACAGTTTTTTAAACGAGTACAGGGTCTTTTAGTCATGAGAAAGGTATTGTGTGTATTCATGTTTGTCTGCTTCTGTTTTATATTACAATGTATTTGTTGCACAAGGTATGGGTACTAATAAATTTAAAAAAATAAGATATTGCAACGATGTGACCAGTGTAACAATTCATAAAAAAGAGACAAGATACCAATGGGACATTCAAAATTCATCAGAGGAAGAAAAACTGATAATGCCTTGACAAAAACTGATGAAAGTACACAAAACACTACATAGAAAACTAAAGGCTGAGCAACATAAATCCCACCAAAAACTTGGGGTGATCTCAGGTGCTCTGGAATGATCAGCAGATCCTGCTCTACATGTGACACTTCTGAAGTACTCTACAGTGTTGAAGTGCTAAGAGTAGAAAGAGAATTATATAACTATGAAAGTAAGTTGGCATAGCAGACATGTGACAAAGCTTTGTTGTGTATTTCAGCCTTTTGGAGGAGTAAGTTATTTAGCCAAGTTCTCCCTAACCAGTAAAAGCAATCTTAGGTTTTAACATTGATCACAAACTGTTTTTTTGAATTCGTACACTATTTCCCAGAATGCATTTTTAATAAACATGCTTAATCCTTTTACCAAATGCACTGAAAATCTGTTCTACACTGCTTTGTCTATTTCATACAAAAAAAATACATCCTGGTAAAGAAACAGTTATATTGAAATAATTATGAGGCGAGTTAGTAATTCTGGCAATTCTTAGACAGATTTTACCTTCTTACAGATGCACTTAATACCTTATACCACCCTTACCTTATTCTCCATTTTTTTTTATTTATCTATTTTACCTACATTAATGAAATTAATACAAAAAACTTTAGATTTCCAATGCTTGACATTCTTTGATTTATCTCCCCTTTCATATTGGCATGTGTCTGCACCATAAAGTCAACATTCAGTTGCATAAGAATGTTTTATGTTTGTGGTGATTCATGGGAGATTTTTTTAAGTCATTGAAAATGCTAAAATTATACTAGTTATTGCCATTTTTATCTGGGACTAATACATGATTTATTGGTCCCAGTTTTTATTCAGTATTAATTTTTCACTATAACTAATTTTATTTATAACATTTTTAAGAATTCAACTATGAAATTGAGATAAAACAATACTGCTACATATAGATATAATAAATCTTTGTTTCATAATTGTAACCATTTAAATTATCTACTTGCATGTCTATCACGAATTAATAACTGTATCAGGAATAGTTAGCCATTATTCATTTAAAATCATAACCGTTGGGATAAAATTTTGATATATTTGTCTTAGATAGACAAAGTTCAATTCTTTCCTATGCATAGTACACCCATTGTTTATTTTAAAATTGAACAAATATCAAACAATCTGAGATGGAGTTAAAGGATATATACTTGTAATGTTAAAACTTGTTGGATTTCAATGTTTTCCTTGCACCAACTTAAATGGCTAAGAAAAAGTCCTACTCCAAGGTGAGTTTTAAAGATTTTCTCTTTAAAAATTTGCTAATATTCAATAGAAATTAAAGGAATAATTGCCAAGTAAGAAATTTGGAAAGTTTAACATGGAAATATCACAAAAACAGAAATTACTTGATAGGCCCACCAAAAATTAGCAAGGACAATTAATAAACTGGTAAATTCCCATTAAGGCTAATGTGGATTACTTTATTTAGTGGGTAAAAATTTTCCTGGATTGAGAAAAAATTGTATATTTCGATTAGATGGTTTTCTGAGAGTGTGCATACATAAGCCTATAGAATATTTGTACGTCATTCTACATTTTATTTCTAAGTTCACATGTACCTATGAAAGCCAGGAAAATTAGTATCCACAAACCATTATGAATCCACAAACAATAATGAATCCACAAACAATAATGAATCCACAAACAATAACGAATCCACAAACAATAACGAATCCACAGTATATTAGAAACTCTTCACTGATAATCATTAGTTTTTTTCATTTAGATGGTGGTCATGGTTTTATCTTTCAATACTTCAAATAATAAATTTAACAATTCTTCTTTTTTTTAAGTGATGGGCATGATTTCTGCAGTTTTTTTTTTCTCTTGTACTTTCTAAGATTCTGCCTCTTGTATATTGACAAAGAACAGGTATTTTTCACTCAAGCTATGTCATGACTAAGTTTTCATATACATATAAGTTAAAAAGAAGTATATTCCAAGTTATACTTTTCGGTGTACTACTTCTGAATAAAATAAAAACAGCATTTGTTCTTTCAGATGGAATTTACAAAAACTTCATAAACTAATATAAAAATAAGGAGATGTGGTATTATTGCCAATGAGACAACTATCCACCAAAGTTCAAATAAAGTGGATGTAAGCAATTATAGGCAACCGTACGACCTTCAACAATGAGAAAACCCCATATTAAGTATGCCTCACTTATCAATGTTAAAAAAAAGGGGTTTAAGGGATTAGAAACCTTCTTTTCTTTTGAAGTTTTTGTTTAAATCATGCACTATTTTGACTAAAATTATAGGCTCAAACCCACTAAAAGATTGGATGCAAAAAGCTTGAAATTATCTTTTATTTCCTTGCTGAATTGAGTTCTACTTGCTGAATTGAGTTCTAGATTTGTGTGTAATGTATCATTTTGTTATTTTTAGTGGTGATGGACGAACGATAAAGATATTTATGTCTCAGAACAATGACACATCACCATCCAGAGATACCCCGACTGGTCTGTTACCTTCCCCTAGTGCACCCGCTCAACTCAGAAACATGAATGGATACCAGTCTTCTCACCGTGGATCTAAAATACTTGTCTGTAAGTTGAATGAGTTAATTTGAAATTTGAGCAGAAAATAATTCTTAAATCGTCATCACACTTTGTTTAGAAATATGATCTTAATTGTTTGATATGAAATCTGAGATGTATACAGGTTTGTTTAAAAATTTAAATTAATCTGGATTTAATAACATTAAAATATCAATTAAACATAATCGTTTGAAGAATGCAATGTATGTTTACGAGAACAAAGCCGAATTATTTGGCTAAAACTGTCAAGTTGACTGACTCATAGTAAGATTGTTTGTTTTTCATCAAATGTTTAAATAGAATTATTAAAAATTTAATTGAATTAAATCAGTTATTAATAATGGCCAAATTGGAACTGGTTCTATCAAAATTTTGTAGTCACTTTCTAAAAGAATTCTATGGAGGTATGTAACTTGTTCAAAAATAAGATATGAGAATTTACAAATATTTTAAAACATGGTTTTATTTTAATTCAATTTTTGGGTATGATATATTTGTACTCCTTACCCGGGTGATATAAGATGTGTCTGTTTTTTAAGTAGAAACAGTTCCTTTATATTGATTTTGGCCCTTGAAATCCCCAAACTAGTAAATTCTTCAATCCTGTAAAATATATGGTAGTTTTATAAATCATTGAATAATCTTATATAAAAAATTGAAAACAACACGTTTAATAATTTCATGCGTCCGAAGCACTTTTCTGGATTTACCTTCATCAGGAACGCTCAATGCCAAACATTTGAAATCCGAGGGATGTATAAGTACCGAAACAGTTGAAGAGCTATATGACAAAAATACAAAAAAACAAAGAGCCAAATTCATCTAAGGTCAATTTTGCCTGAGGGAGTTGAAACCCTAGTTTTTTAATAATTTCAAAATTTATAAACAGACAATTTTAGAAAGGTTTGTTATAAATCATGTCAGTACCGAAGTACTGACTACTGAGCTGATGATACCCTCGGGGACTGTTAGTCCACCAGCAGAGGTATTGACCCAGTGATGTAAAAAATTGAAAACAACACGTTTAATAAATTCATGCGTCCGAAGCGCTTTTCTGGATTTACCTTCATCAGGAACGCTCAAAGCCAAACATTTGAAATCCGAGGGATGTATAAATATAATCTGGACACTCATTTATATTTTGAACAATTTTGAAACATATTAAAATTATATTTGACCTAATATGGTCTATGTCATTTCATAATTAAGCTTTTGCCAAATTAGAAAATGATCAAAGGCATCACCTAAAATAGATATTTTATCTACTGTAACATCTCTAGAAATAAATTGAAGCAAAATATCTCTTTGGGTAAGTTATTGGCTCCAGTGTAAATTTTAATGATAAGATCTCAAAATGGGAATGTTTTTGGAGTATTTTACAGACTGTAAAGTCTTCAAGCATATATGAAAGACACAATTCAGAAATATGTAAAAACTAATCTGACGTAACTAATATCTTGTGAACATCAGGATGTTGTTAGAACAATAGTATGGTACTTTTTTATTTTCATTTTTAAGAGGCTTTAACATACTTTTTTTCACCTTTATTAAAGTGGTTGCTGTCTCTGTAATTCCCTACAAAGAAAGTTATGGAAGTAAGACTTTGGTTTGTCTATGTCAGCCACATCAACAATCAAGTTTTTGATCATGTTACAGGGTGCCATCCTCTTTGTAAACATATTTTTTTTTAAAGTTAGTACACTCATACGGCAAAAGTTAATGAATTGTTTGTGACAATAAATTACATCATTAAAATAAATGTTTGAATTAATAAAATATTGCCATTTTTATACCTGGACAGAACTATTAAAACAGTCAGAAATAATCAATTCAAAATGCACTAAATGAAATTAAAAAACGCACTCTTAAATGTATATCATTTTCAAATATCATTGAACTAAATTAACCTAAATTAATAGATTATTAACAAGTTATACATATTCTAAACTTGATATCAGTTTAACATGACTATGTGACATGAGATTCAGTACATTGATTTTACAGTAAATATGGATGTTTTTTTCTAGACAACACGAATGAGGGTTCTGGTTAAGGAACCATTAGCTTTAGTCACATTTATTAAGCAAACATCTCAAAGAAAAATGGAAAGTTTATAAGAGAAACTTTTATTGCAGCAGTATCAGACCTTCTCAGGAGATATACATTTTATAAATTCTTATTGTAAAATATTTGAAGTGGTCGGCAGATTGTAAAAAAAAATTCCAAGTCCAAAAATAACGCATCGTTAAAAAACATATGTTATGCTTTGCATGTGTACAACTCATGTTTTAGGATTAACCCTTCATCGTGTCCTAAGATGATACAGAATTCATTAATAGGGATAGTTGTTTGAGGATACAAAACCAGTTGTGTGTCAATAAATTGTGATAACTTTGTTTTGTTTTTGAAACAAATTTTCAGACGCAAAATTGAACTTATGAGGTTGTTTTGCACGTAAACTTGTTTGTTTGTTACTAATATTTTGAATTCAGTTTTGATTTCAAAATCGTAGAATACATTTAATATTCTGAAATGCTGAATGCACATAAAGCATATAAATATTTAGTTAATACAGATATCTATTAATTACGCTGTTTTCATAGAAGTGTGTATGACAACAACATTCATCACATCAAAATACAAATAATAAACAAAATGATATTGCCTAATGCTAAAACTCCAATTTATAATGATTAAATCCTTGAGTGCAGTGTACTAGTTAAAATATTGCTAATTGTTACGTCATTGAAAATAACAATTCTGTAGTAAGCGACTCCATTTGTAAATTGGCTTCTCATAATTAATTAATAATTTACAGCGTATCATCATATGGTTATAACGGTTTATTCATCTATCTAAAAGTGCACAGAGTACATGAAACATACTGGTTCATTTACCTTTTCTAGAAAAAAAAATCTGAGATCACTTAACCATTAGAAACAGTTGTTTATCAAAATAATTTTAATTATTCATTATAAATATGTAGCTATAAGGGTGGGACAGTATTTAAATGAATTATTTCATACATCTGCATCATAAGGTTAAAAGCAACAAATGTTTCAAGATAAACTCATTTTTCATTATTTGTTCAAGATTTTGCTGAAAGTAGCAGGTGAGTGGACAGCAATACCAAAGTTTGGTATACCTTAGAATCTTGTATATATTGGATTAAATCTCTTTGATGTCTTCACAAAATTATTTAGCAAGGATATACCATTTAGAATATATTCCCAATCTGTTATCAAAAAGGGAACTTATATTGTTGATTGCACCTGACAAAAATAAGGTTTAAGTTATCATTATTGTTTTTAATTTAAAAATTATTCAAACTATCCAAACAATGGCCCATCCATAATTCCTTCTTTGCTCTGAAACTGCATCTGCAGATTATTTGACATTGATAATGAAGATGGCTTTTTTACTGATCAAAGAATATGTGTAGGATATTAGAACATGTACATGAGAAATGGAAGGATATCTGAACATGTACATGAGATGATGAAAGGATATCTGAACATGTACATGAAAATAATGAATGGATATCTGCACATGTACATGAGACAATAAATGGATAAGGAACATGTGCATGAGACAAAGAAATGATATCGGAACACATACTTGAGACACATATATGAATATGTACATGAGACAAATGAAAAGATATTGGAACACTCAGGTACATGAGAAAAAAAAATTATTAAGGATTTTAATCTTACTCCTAACCATATTTTGTATCGATATATTCTTTTTTCAGCAGCAAAGAAAAGAGGGTCTACAAGCAGTGATACGGACATTTTGTCGCCACATAAGATGTATGAGAGACGGAGGTCTGATAGAGAGAAACGATCAGGAGATGCTTCAGGTAAGTTTTATTGTTATTTGTAGCTTTGTCTTTTCTGTCTCTCTAATGTTTTCTTATGTTGGTATATCTCGTTTTATTGTCCCCTGCATAGCGCATTGCGGGGGACATGAAAATTTTGTCCTTCCGGTCTTGTTAGTGCTCTCACAGGTACAATACTTGCCAGATTTTTATAAAACTTATACTATAGGTTAATATCAGCAATATCTTGGACAAGTTCCATAAAGGTGGCCGATTGACTTCTTTTAAAAGAGTTTTGCCCCTTGGAAATATCAAATTTATTGAAAATGGCCTCGTTAGCGCTCTCACAGGTACAATTCTTGCCAGATTTTTATAAAACTTATACTATAGGTTAATATCAGCAATATCTCGGATAAGTTCTTTAATGGTGGACAATCGATATTTTTTAAAAGAGTTATGCCCATTGGAAATATAAAATATGTGCAATGCGGGGAACATTGGAACTCTTCTTTTATTCATATTAGTTACAGTATCAGGTTTTACAATTATCCCTTTTTGTCGCAAGAAAATATACGACAGCAAAAAGGGCCTCTTCAATTCATATGTGACCTTTGGACCTTAAAAACTTGAACTTTTTACCTTCAATTGGAGTCAGTAGGATTTTTTTTATCTATTAACTTTGTATGAATGAATGGGGAACTTCAGTGATATTTTACCGTAGTTACTTGCTATTCTTTAAGATTATTTAGAATTCTTTATTTGCCCAGTGAATAACATATACAACATTTATGTGTATTTTATTTAGTCCAGAATTACATTTTTGGTCTATTTTGTTATTTGGTTTGCTGTCTCATTGTCCTATACCCTACATTCCTTTTGTTTAATTTCTCACTTAATCATTGACTTTCCAAATTACATCACACTGTGATTAATTTTACAGTATTTTGTAATTTTAAACCTTTGATTAGTACATATAAGATGTTTCATTGTTAAATATCGATTCTGTTATATATTTAGTCACCTAAAACATGAATAAAACCATGTAATTATTTTAAAAATCAATATTAACATGAAGAAGCCAATCAGATTTATTCTGGTAAATTTAAATATTATCAGCATGTTGCGATGACTAAGCTTTGTAAGGAACAAAAGACATATTTTCCGCCCAAAGGTATTTTAAACGTGTAAAGGTAAAAATTTGTCAAATTTAACAATAATTAATTAGCTTCACATAGATTATTATGATAAATGTCTTATATAGTTTATGATATTATTTTGATTGTAGATATTATTTTAAATTCTTATATACTATTGATAAAAGCATACTTGTCAGTGGTGTTCAGACTAGCTTTTGTACGGGACGTCAAGATAACAGGCTGAACGGTCTGGTTGGAAGCTCTTGTGTTATTTTAAATTGTTTTGTATTGCTAGCTATGTCTACAGCAAGTACATTTTATACACCTTTTGATAATCATTAATCATACTAATTAGCTAGACTGAATGAAAATAAATTGTTAAAAATATGAAGATTGCTTCTTGCAAATACTCTCAACTTTTTCTGATTCTTTTATATCTTTTTAGACTTGCTTAACGCCATATTATAAAGCAGACTTGTCTTTTGACAGCTTGTGTGTAACTTATTTTAAATTCACAAAACAAAGCAAACTGAATAAATTTAATAGCAGATTTTAAATTGAGATGAAGTGGAAATGCATTATGTAATCTCATGCACCTGGAAACACGATTTGAAATGACAGCACAGGTAAAGCTATAATGGATGATATGTACTGTATATAGGCTTTTCATAACAGATTTTTAGATTAAACACTTTGTCCATTACAGCTTTGTTTGAAGTGGTAGAACAACAAGACATAGACTCTGTGAAGGCCATTCTGGAAAGTAATACTGTTAATGTAAATAGGTAGGTCTCTTTAAATTAAATGTCTGCTAATATTCCCCGCCTTTTAATGCCTTCACATATTTCCTGATACACTTTTTACATAACCATTGTCTGTTTAACTGTTGGTCTTCTAACATAAATATGGAAAATGTATTGAGGTTTTTTAAATTTTATTTTGGTTTTTAGAGGAAGTGCTTGCAATTTGCCAAAATTCAGTCATTTGTGAAGTTTTAGGAACAGTATCAGTCTTGTGAAGTTTTCGGAAAAGTATCAGTCTTTTGTGAAGTTTTAGGAACAGTATATCATTTGTGAAGTTTTAGGAACAGTATTAGTCTTTTGTGAAGTTTTCGGAACAGTATCAGTCTTTTGTGAAGTTTTCGGAAAAGTATCAGTCATTTGTGAAGTTTTCGGAAAAGTATCAGTCATTTGTGAAGTTTTCGGAAAAGTATCAGTGTCATTTGTGAAGTTTTAGGAACCGTATCAGTCATTTGTGAAGTTTACGGAAAAGTATCAGTCATTTGTGAAGTTTTAGGAACCATATCAGTCATTTGTGAAGTTTTCGGAAAAGTATCAGTCATTTGTGAAGTTTTCAGAAAAGTATCAGTCATTTGTGAAGTTTTCGGAAAAGTATCAGTCATTTGTGAAGTTTTAGGACCCGTATCAGTCATTTGTGAAGTTTTCGGAAAAGTATCAGTCATTTGTGAAGTTTTAGGAACAGTATCAGTCATTTGTGAAGTTTTCGGAAAAGTATCAGTCATTTGTGAAGTTTTCGGAAAAGTAACAGTCTTTTGTGAAGTTTTAGGAACAGTATCAGTCTTTTGTGAAGTTTTAGAAACAGTATCAGTCTTTTTGCACATTTATTGTACAGTGGACTCTTTTTCCATATGAATTCAAAACTGTATCTCGTGCATGACATAATTTTAATAATATACAAGAAAAATGTATGTATTTTTATAAAAATGAGTAAGTAATATATCATAATTATCTCCTTTTATATATGGATTAAATCATTGAATGAGATATTACATGATGAAGTCTTAAAAATATTTGATCCTGTGTTTTTTGTTCTCTAGTTTGAATGCTGAGAGATTAACTCCCCTTGATGTAGCAGTGATGACCAATAATATTCCAATGGCTAAGTTACTGCTGAGTTATGGTGCAAGAGAAAGTCCTATGTGTAAGTTGCTTTTCTTCATTAATTCTATTAGCCGAATAAGTCTTGATCTGAAAGTTGATAGGGGAAACATCTATCAAAACTTTTTGAAGATTACGAAGTCAAGTACACTGAACTATATTCAAAACAATTTTTATCCGACACTGAATATTTTTGCATTTGACATATTTACCAAGGAAATCAAACCAGTTTTTTTTCTGAAACACCCAAAATGTTAGATATTGTGGGTTCTGTAGTATATATAAAAATAAGAAGATGTAGTATATATAAAAATAAGAAGATGTAGTATGATTGCCAATGAGACATTCTCCACAATAGTTTACATGATAGGGACTAAATATGTGGTACAAAAATCTCTGGTGCTGTAATTTCAAGAGTTCTAGAAATCAAAGTTCTTATGATAGTCTTTCATTTCATATTATAGTACTTTATTTTTGGAATGCCTTAAGTTTATACTACAAACATACATACAGAATATTTAAGAGAAAAGGAGTCTGCCAAAATTGAAAATTTTTGTGGTCATTAGCTAGTTATCATATGAAATAACTTCGTAATATTTTGTTTGTTTCTTTGAAAGCAGCTCATACCACAAATATTGAACAATTGTATGTATAAACAAACACTCCTTTACTTAGCAAAACAAAACACTTTAAATCATGTTTTAATTAAAGAATGAAGACATTCTTAATGATTAAGTGAAGAAAATTACAAATTCTTAGTAATTAACTGGAGAGTTTTGTACCCAGTAAAACTTAAATGCCCATTTGTCAATAGAAAATATATGATGCATATTTCTTAGATCAGTTGCAACATGCCTGACGTTATAACTTTTGGATTAGTAAGTCAAAAATGCTTATGATCTTTGTAGATTAAAGGAAAATATTACAAAAAAATGTATTTGCATTTTAGATCTTTGAATGTTATTCCTGAGATACATTTTTGTTGTCAAATTTGGTCATTACTGCCTTCTTTCATTCAAACTCATTTTATTTCACTGAAAAAATGTGCATTGTTAATAGGAAGTTTTAACTTAAAGCAGTAAGTCTTCTCTTGAAACTTATTAATGTCATTTTGGACAATTTAAATCTATTATCTAATAATTGCACAGTAATTTATCTTAATTGAGTAGAAAGTCATGTTTACATCTTATTTATTGAACAGAAAATCGTAATATATACTTTTGAACAAAAAGCACGTGAGAATATGATAGGGTTACATTTTCATCGAAATTTGTTATCATTAGATGCTGAAGTATAAAAAAAAATCTAAAATAGAGTTGTTTTTTTAATGAAAAGATAGGGAAATTTGTATACATGTCCAAAATTCATGGTCATCATATGAAAGCCAAGGGCTAAAGTAATGTTTCAAATCACTTTAACGTTATATCACCATAATACATATGAAATATATTTACGATTAGGTATAGATTTATTACACCCCCTTTGGCATGTAATAATTCTTTTCAAATTTATATGTCCTTTACTTAGTTTCCAATTCAAGGAATATGTTGTATACTTGTTAAATAACAAAGAGAATTTGGCAATTCTGTTATAACTATAATGCTATTTAGTTAATATGTATTTGTAAGTGGATGACTTGTTTCTTTGTATCCAATACAAAATTAGCCAGTTACAATATAAAAAGGTGTGAAAATGTGAATTTGTTCAAAAAAGTTTGGTATGGGAATATGATTTATTCATTTAACGACTGCTCTCAAATAATTTGATTGTGGAAGCTGAGCACTGAGAGGAAACAAAAAAATATGAACAAGTGTCTTCGATACTGTTTCCTCACATTGTGGATATCAATTTTCGTGAATTGAGGAAAAAATTGTAATTTTTGGATACTTCATTTGGTTGTTTTGAATAATTCTGCACCTTTAGGCTATTGAAAATTTTAACTTTGCTGCACACTTAATTTTGTGGTTCTCCTAGACTTAGGAAATCAATGATCATTGGTAAACCAGAAAAATAATGAATTCACAGTAAATTTTGATGTTCAGATACATCAACTTGTTGTTAAGGAACTGGAATAAAACCGAGGGAATACTTCTGAAACTTAATCCTTTAAATGAGTGTTTTATTGAATGCTTTGTAAAATTGTGTTACATGTACTAACAAAAAAAACTATTTGGAACAAAGTTAGCAAAGATTTCATTTATTAATCTTTTGTGTTTAAAACTGGTTCATATTTGTTATTCTAGTTTTGAGGATAGACAGTAGATCAGCCAAGTTAGATGAATTAGTAATGGATGCAGAGAAACGTGTGGTAGATTTATCAGCAGCCATTCTTAATGCTTCAGCAAGCAGTGGATCTCTTTCAACTACGCAACAAAAGGTGGGTTGCCTTCTCTTGTCATAGATAATTCTCAGAAATATTGTTTTATTAGTGTGCTTGTAAAGGTAAAAGTTTAGGACATATACTACAAATTAAATTAAAGTTGGACACTTTCATAGAGAGCTTTTTGATTATCTTCTTAGAATTAGATACTTAGGAGAGATGATTCAAGATTTCTCCCAGTGGTCCAAGGTCTTTTTGTTCAAAGATGTTGATAGATTGATGGATTGTTAGTATTTTACACCACTTTCAGCACTATTGCTTTATCAGTTTTTATTTGTGGAGGAATCCTGAACCCCTGGAGAGGGTTAAAAGAAGTGGATTTGATCATTTCACTACCATATGACTTGGTAAAGATTGGATAGATTTCTTTAACATGTATTTTAATGTTTTGTTGTCCTACAACAATTAAATGCATGTAACATTCACCTATCCAATGTATTGACATAATCTTCAGATGAAGGTACACATACGCTTCACCTATTTAGGGTCCTGGGGTCGATGTGTAATAGGTCAAAATTATTCCATAATCAGATAAGCAGAATCTGTTACCTTAGATACAAAAAAATAATTATATTTCATAATGATAATTCAGATTCTATCAAATTCATATTGTGCTGATCAGTGAGAAACACAAATATATTGTTAATGTTTGTTGACAATATTTTTGTCGTAGTAAATTATTCTATCAGAATGTTTTGATTTTCCCTTTTGTGTAGGGTAAAAAGCTTATGGTTGGTTCAGCATACAGTAGGTCAGTCCTTCACAGACAACCAGATTAGCAACTGTTTCATACTGTTTAATGCAAAACTATAGGTTAATTCAATATAGATTTTACCAATCATTTTTTTTTTATTCAAATCTTTTATTGTTGTATAAATCTAAGAGATATGTGACCAAATAAACCCAATACATAGTAAATAGAGAGAAAAAAATAAATCACAAAAACATAGGGAAACATATATACTTTGACCTATAATGGTTTACTCATTGGCACTCTTACCTGTGACATCTTCTTATATCTATATAAGCCAAATTTTCGGAATTCTCTTAAATTCTTTTTAAAAGTGATACATGTACTACTGACCAATTTTTAGATTTTGACATATTGCATATTTGATTGAAGAGATTATATAAGTTTTTTACATAATTGATTTATTATGATTTTACATGTCAATCAAATGACATGAATGGATATGCAAGGTTTTAATATTATTATTTGCATAATTTACCTGTAACAAGTCTGAAAAGGGATACCTGTCAATCAACAAATCATTAATTAAGTCATGTGATCATTAATTAAAATTCCTTTCATTTAACTAGGTCAATTGAGTAAATGTACTTTTACAAGTGTCAGTTGTAGATATTGCATGAAATTGTAATCATTTTGATTTTTATTCAAAGATTTCATCATGAAGTTTGGCTTACATAATGTAGCAGGTATTTCTTTAAATTATATTAAATTTTATTTTTAAACAAACTTTAAAACGTTTTGTTCTCCAGAATAGTATATCATATTTTTTATTGACAAAAACTAAAATACCTTTTAGAGTTCTTTGGGACTTAAATGTATGAAAAATACGCTACACTTCTGTTTTAAATACGATTTAAACAATAATTCTGTTATTAAATAAGTGAGCTGAAAAGATTTATAATAAATAATAATAATAAGTATGTTGACTAGAATCAGCAAAAATACATAGTTCATATTTATGTAATATTGGTATTTCCATCTGAAAGTAAATTATCATGTTTAATAGCCATCAATATTCTTTACATTTGGTAATTAAACTTTTAATCTTTTAGATAAATCTTTATTGATAGTAACACTTAGTATTAGGAGAAAGATGTCTTTAACTGTCACCAAAGCCTACATTCTGGATAACTTTAAATTATGTGTAAACAATAATGTTTTGATGTGTAGAAAACCCTGTTTGAAATCAACAAAGGAAAACAATATAAAACTGTTCTTTAATTCTTTTGTTTATGTTGTTAATCCATTGAATAATCAAAGATAAAAATACTATATGTACGACACCTTTAATCATAGATAATCTGTTCAGAAAATATTTTGGTGCCATGTGGACGGTTTAGTGTGAGAATGATAAGATTTGTTATAACACAGAATACTATCAACTTTGCTTGGATGTTTATATCTTCCATAATTGGTAATGTTGCAGTTTTTTTATGCAAAGATGTCAAAAGTGGCTTATTTAGTTTTAAAATCCATTTTATCATTTAGTTTTTGTGCATTTTGTTGATTAATGAGATTTCATGTTGGTTGTACAAATAAAAATCCTCCTTATGTAAAGTAGTTGCAAAAAACTCTTATCTGTAAAAGTCTTCCTATTTGGATTTTTCAGTTGAATCATTCACCTATATATGAAAGATAACATGTAGCATTTGCAGATAAGGGGAGTTTCTTTAACTTTGGATAATCCCCTTCCCATATGAAAATTTAATTTAAATAATACTTTTTTGCATGTTATTTAAAATTCAAGTTTTACTAAGAAAAAAGGTAATAAATTATACAGCTATTCAAAAGGTTAACAATATGTACCTTAGTTTAAGAACAGTCATTTTATATCTATTGAAGGTCAGAGGTCAGAAAATCAGATATAACATAAGTGAACCCTTGTATGTCCCAATAAAATATCATTAAAAAAAATCAGATCAATCGAATCTGAATTATTAGGTCATCTGTTAGCTTTAATATTGTGTACAAGTTGTTTTTATGTCTAATTGAAAAACAATGTTTTGTGTATGTGGACATTTTGTACAAGGAAGAGAGGCTGTCCTTAAACTTTGTTTACAAAAACGAATTCATTAGATCATAGAAGTTATTTACTTTTAATGATCTAGTTTGTAAATGTGGACTAATGGTGAAGATTTTAAATGGCATTCATGATGGAAGTACAACAACATTGGGTAACAAAACTATTTTTTCCACAAATTTTATCTAAATAATTTCTTTATTTATATCTTTAAAAAAAGCAATTTATTTTTGTATTTTTTAGGAGAACGAGAAGCAGTTAAGTCACTGGGAGTTCAGACACAAGCTATTAAAAAGAATGAAAGCTGGATATGATCATGCAAGTAAGTCAAGTTAAAGTTAAATAGTTGGATTTTTATAAAAGTTTAAGGTATTTAAGTGGCAGAAAAAACCTTGTCAATGATAACAGGCTTATAATTTGTGGTTTGCATACTTTGTCTTCATAAAACTCATCGGTGGCACTTCAATAAAAATAGTCATGCATATGCAACTGCACTGGACAAAATCGTTGATTTGAATATTTTTAGTATTGAGAACGATACGATCTGTCAGTCATGTATGGTCACGATAATTAGATTTGACGAGTCGAGTCCCACAGTCTTGGTCATTTAAAAGCTTATTATTTAGGGATAAGCATGGTATTTATAAAGATATCAAACATCTTGAAGGGTAATAAAATGTTGTTGATGGGTCTCTTATAGCTCAAGTGTACTTATGGGCATTTTATAATTTTAACAACAGGGATCTAAATGAACGGAGTAATTGTCTATTGACAATGGTGCTTAAAAAAGACAAAAATGATATCACGTATATTGATTATATGTCAAATTTTAAATCCATTTGTATTTCAAATAAAGTTTCAAACTTTGACGGATAAGACCTTCATTTTGTGTAAAAGAATTACATGTGCAAATATTTGTTCATATAATTGTGGTAAATACTTTACAATGAAAAGTGGTCTTCTTGTATAAGAGAGTAAATTTTCATTGTAAATATTGGGTATATTTTTAAAATTTAAGATTGCTCTTATTTTTTTTTTTTTTTGTATTAAAGTAATTTTGCTTTTTCTTGCAAACAGTATTCTTACAAAACTAAATTTCATTCACTCTGTTAGGTTACTTAAGTTTTGTATGACAAATTTGTACTACAAAGGAGAAAAAAACTTTTGACAAAAAAAAAAATACAACTTTTACTAGCAGTTAAAAAAGTTAGATAGAAAATAAATGATAAATGGTGAATTAAAAGAAAGAAAAAGTGCAGAGAAGGGGATTTTTACACTTTTAACATAAACTTCTCTTATCTAGATATACAAAAGACACCTTCCTAAACAAACAGCACCAACAAAAAGCTTTTTTTGTAACTAAACAAATCACAATTGTTTAAAGATTTGGCAGGTAACTGAGAAAGGACAATATACCATAAATTTTTGGTTTTATTTATCTTTACACAAACGAGTCCACTTAACGTTTCTTTACTTTGTAAGGTAGAGATTATTTAGGTACATGTTTCTGTAAATGCATTTGGATAAAATTTTAAAATGTCATTAATTGACTCTAGTAAGTAAAAATAATTTTGTTTTATGATACCTTTGAAGTTTTGTTAACCAAATGGTTTTTCTATTGGTTAATTTTCATTTAATATGTTTATAATTGCATATGAACAGTTTTGACGAAGAAAACTTTGCAACATTGTATCATTTTCAAAATGAAAACAACAAAATAATTGAATATAGTTATAGCCTAATGAAGTAGATTTGTGTACAGATTTTCTTGTTTAGTTTATATCATTATAGAACTGTGTGTTGTTATTTTCAGGAATGCCCGACCCTCCAAGTTACGTGAGTTTGACAGTTGCCAGTAGTTCATCTTTACTTGTACGATTTGATGAACCTCTCAATCATAATGGAGCAGTGGTTACTAAATATAAAGGTATTTGAATATAAATTTAAAGACAGAGCTGCAATAGAAATTTTTGTCAGATGATTATTTTTCATCAAATTAAAGGATACAAGTATGTAGAAATTTGAAATTAATAAATTTATGACTCATTGAAGTGCAGCAAGTGTGGTTAACTTATAGTTGCATAAGTAAAATTAATATATTGTGCGGTGGTATTACACTGAAGCTTGAAAGGCGTAATTATGTAAATTGTAATATGACATCTTATTTTTGCTACGAGGTATCTTTTCCTGAGGAAACAACAAAAAACCATGGTCCAAATTGGTTACATCTAATATGATTTGCACTGCAATGTAGTCATCAAAGTCAACATGAGTTTCTGTAATTTTTAAATCAGTTTCCTATATGAATTAACATAATTTGCAGTATTCTTTGGTTTACCAGTGATTTGGCAATGGATAGGACCTATACTTTCATAAATGTTACCCCTTGTTCAACTGTGCTACATTGAGGGAAGTGGTAGATTAGTTCTTTGATAACATTGAATACCTACACGATTTAAAAAGTCAACCAGTTATTGCATTAAGGTTATTCTTTTACAGTGGAATGGAGTTGTTTTGAAGACTTTATGCCATTAGCTGGAGACAGCATTGTTGAGAATATGAGACAGTTAGAGTACGAGATTGAAGGTCTGGCAAAAGGAAACCGATACTATGTTCGAGTGGCAGCATGGAATATGAAGGGATACAGTCCATTTTCTTCAGCAAAACCTTCATATGCTGTGCCGTCAAGTAAGTGACTTGTATGAAATTTAATATTAGTATACTGTAAATTCAGAAATTATTGGTATTGCATGCAGATTTTCCTGAAATCGCAATAATTAATCTCGCATTATTGTCCATTTTTAAAAAAACGCAATAATAAATGCACACAATAATTTCTGAATTTACAGTACCGAATGATGTGCCACTATCTCAGATTTTTTTAAAGTCAATTACAGAGTTTTTTTTTTTTTTTCTGACTGATCATCTTGTCCATATTAACAAAATAACTGTTGCACCAGTTTTCAGCCAAATATTTTCACACTCCATTTGGCAAGTAGAACAGTAATACTTATAACAAAGAAATTGTGGCGTGTAAAGTTGATCCAGTTATGTTACCAAGTCACCTGTCTCTTACTTACATATTTGTTTAGACATCTGTTTTAAGAACAAAAGATCTGCTTCATCAGGGAAGTCATTAAAAGGTTGAGTTTAGAAAGATAATGCTGATGTCATATAAAAATAAACAATAGAATACAACATATTGACAAACAAATGTGAAATTACGACAATGAAAAAAAAACCAAACAGATTGTCTTGTTTAGGAACATATTGACATAAAAATGTGAAATGAAAAAAATTTAGTTAGAATAAAACTACGTCAACATGTTGAAGGTAAAGAAAAGTAATATCATGTTTTCATCTGCAGGTTGGAGAGACGTAGATGGAAACGCAATGTCTCGAACAGAAGGAAAAAATAAATTGATGGATGAATTATTCTCCCAAGTGAAACATTTGCGGCCTCCTGATGCTTCTGAACTAAAAGGTATTGTTAAAGTTATTTTAATAGAATATTTGTAATTACTTTTAAGTATCACTGGTAATAAACACAGTCATTATGACTTCCAGTTCGAAAATGAAATTAGATTTCAAGGCTGTGTACCTTTATTGTTATATGAAATGATTTCTCCAAGATTTTAATTTGTACTGAATCTAAATAATAATTTAATGGGAGACAACTCTATTTCAGATAATACAGGTGGTGATTCTCCTCAACAAAGAAAGAGAAAAAGTATTAAGAATCTGTTTACCTCAGCTCCAAAATTTTATAAAACATTAAAACGGTAAGTTTTGATAGTAAAAAGTATGTCTGTTTTTTTTTTCCAACAGTCTTACATATTATTGTTGAGTTATGCTATTGAGTATGTTTAAAGAATTCATGGACATTTTTATAATTAAAGTTTAATCATCAATGAGAATTGCAAGTGTAGTACAGCATTACAGAAAATTGCACCGGAACCTAATAGACCAGAAGTAATTATTTGCTTTATTTATTTAAATTTCAGTGGAGTTTATTTAGCTTGCCTATTATATAATGGTGACAAAGTTCTGGTTACTGGAGATGATCAGTTACCGATAGTAGAAGTGGATGAGAATTTCTCAGGACCAAGTGTCTACAATGATTTTCATTGGCTAATGAAGGTGAGTTGAACCTACCATTACTCAATACAACGGAAATACAGGAATAGTGTTAACCCCAACACAGGAACAACTTCACACAATATACACTAGTCAGGAATAGTGTTAACCCCAACACAGGAACAACTTCACACAATATACACTAGTCAGGAATAGTGTTAACCCCAACACAGGAACAACTTCACACAATATACACTAGTCAGGAATAGTGTTAACCCCAACACAGGAACAACTTCACACAATATACACTAGTCAGGAATAGTGTTAACCCCAACACAGGAACAACTTCACACAATATACACTAGTCAGGAATAGTGTTAACCCCAACACAGGAACAACTTCACACAATATACACTAGTCAGGAATAGTGTTAACCCCAACACAGGAACAACTTCACACAATATACACTAGTCAGTAGTTTTCTGTTAGGTGTTAACAGAAATAAGGATTTGGTAATGACTAACTAAATTACAATTAACTACAACAGTAAAACGCTCACATTTAACAAAAGAAAAAGAATGGTTTACTTTTACAAATTGTGACTTGGATGGAGAGTTGTCTCATTGGCACTCATACCACATCTTCTTATATCTATAGTATCTTCCTTGCTGTTTGACATGATGCCAGTTTTAATTGGAATGGTCAGTGAATCTTAAGAATTACTTGGATGACAAAAGGAGTTCAAACACTTATAAGGACAAACAAGAAAACAGCAGTAATGTTTTATTATATCCTGTGTGATGCAGACCTATAGTAAATGAAACTCATAGAGCAATGACAATATATGTGTGTTTAAAGTTACATTTGTTAAGTGTTGGTTTAAGGTAGTTTACCATGAAGTCATGAACACATATTTATGTTTAATACCAATTACTCTTTCAAATTGAGAAGTTTTGTCAGTATATATATGTTATGGATGTTGAAATGTTTAGTAACTATTTTGTGATTTGATATTGTAGGTATCCTGTACCTGGGAGGATGTCAAGTCATTACGGCAAGACATGGATAAAAATACTAGTGCTGGAACCATGCATTTTAGAAGTAAACTATTACAGGCAGTATCTATTATGCAGGTTAGTAAAAGAAATGTGAGATGTGTCTGAGTTACATAAAATAGTTCCAATATATACTTTTTTAACTTGAACTTTGTGGTTAGCATTAGGTTAAGATTTTGAGAACGAAAACTGTGGATGAAGTAAATATCTGTGGAGACGTCAATATTGTTTATTATGAACAGGAATGCATTTAATGTGTGGTTATTTGAAAGGTCACATTTTGTATGTTACAGTGTTATAAACTTAGAAAAATAAACTCCGAAGCTAATTTCACCCAAGCTAGAGAGAGGTATATGATATTCAAATTTTTGTTATTTCAGTCTTCATAACATCTTCAATCTCTATCTATTCAGTTATAATGAATATTTCATTGTTTATTATTCTCTAGAGAATAAACTAATATGAATTTATATCTCTTTATTTCAGAGCTCTTTAGGTGTACAAGATATAGGGCAGTTTCATTTTAAACCATTGAAGGACCCAAATGGATGTATAATACTTACAACCGTGTGCAATATTAAAGATCCAAAGACTGTTATCCTGGGGTCAGGGAGGTGGATTAGCTTTGCCAAATTATTACGTAGATCCTCAGCAGCTTTACAAGAATTACAAGATTCTCCTGATGTTTTACATTCATCTATAGGCGTAAGTATTCTTTTCTAAAGAAATAAACGGTTTAAATTGTGGTGGAATTCTTTGTTCTTGTCCATACTTTTGGCATCAGGAGGGATAAATAATCTTTAAGCGTGAAAATTAACGAATATATATTAACACGGCATGAAATTACCGTGATTTCTTAATAGCAAGAATTATATGCTGGGTGTATGAATAATAAATTTTGTGCCAATAGACACACAAAAAGATTAACAACTATTAAATAGATTATCTTAGACAAACAAAAAGATTAACAATTATTAAATAGATTATGCTTAATTGAACATCTTTATACAAGAAATATAAAAATAAAAGAACAAAAGGAAGGCAAAAAAGTAGTATCAAATTTTAGAATATTCATAAAATTATTTTAAGATTTTATTGAAGGGAGATAACTCATTTCTCTTTTATTTTTCAGGAGATGATTTTGTACCACCAAGTCAGTACTATCCCTCTAGCCAAAGGACTGTACATATGTTACCTTAAGTTACAAGTAGCTGTCGATCTCATACAAGTTCTCGTACCAAGAAAAGCACCAAATGTTCTTCCTTATGTCAAAGTCAGAGACTGTCCTAATGTTTCAAGGTATATTATCAAAAATCTGTTCAAAGAAATATTAAGTCCATTTCCTAATTCAGACACAGCAAGCTTGATATTTAAGTAACTCTTTATTCACATAAGAATTCTATTTTAAATCTTGACTACCCGTTATTTAAATATGGAACTTTGACGCTCATTTTTAATACCTTGGAGAGAAAAAAGAATGACAAAAATAAGCTGATTTTTTACAGTACGATATTCTTGAATTTTGAACAATGAATTATGATCTAAGAGAAATTTTAAATCAGATAAATTTTCCACTATTCAATGCAGTGGTATTTCATCTCTTCTATCATCAGAAGTTCGTCTCTTATACTATCTTGTTCTTCCTATTTTCCAGAGAAGAATGGGAATGGCTACAAACAATCAATGCAGATCAACACGTGGCTCCACCTACAAGTACTCAACAACAGTTTCGCAGTCAAATAAACCATTCTACAAATAAGCTGTTTGGCATGTTAGGTAAGTAAATTTGATAAAATTCTTGGTATTTGTTGATGTCCAGAGATGTTAGTCTTTGCCAAAAATTGCTCTTAACCAGCTATTCCTATAGCTGAAATATATATAGCTGGATGCTGTGGGTTTCCTGGTTGTCTGTCCTTTCCACAGAACTAAACTTGTAGTTCTCTCCAAAAAACAGTTCTGGTTATTTTTAAATCATAATATAAATGGTTAGAAATATAAACATGTTAGCACATATACTTATTGAAGTTACTTTAGCCATGTTACATCAGTTATATAAATTGTCTAAATTTTTAAGCATGGGTACTAATTACAGAATGTTAATGCAAAATTATTTTGGATAAGTAAATTAAGTTAATGTTTATTCTTGAAAAAAAAGGATGTGATGGCAAAAACTTCATTGGTCATTTAATAAGATATGTAAAAATTTGCATTAAACTCAAAACCTATTTGAAAAAAAATATAACCATATTTAAAAAAAATCGGGGGAAAATAATGAATTTATATTTAATTTATACATTTTTAATTTTTCCAGAAGTATCAGAGAACATGGCTGGCAGTCATCGATTATATGATCTGGAAGTGATGGAGTTTAGTAATGATGTTACATTCCTGTTGGTGCTGCCCCCTGTTGAGGATGTCTGTATTGTACCAGGTCAACGTGACCTACTTACAGAGAAAAGAGATTTTATGTTGCTTCCAGTTCAAGTATTTGAAATGAGTAAGTGGAAGGGGGACAACTTCGATAATTTTAGATATTTATATCCTTGATAAAGTACAAGATTTTGAGTTCACATGTGTGGAAATATCTATTTCCTTATAAAGAATTGATTGATTGAAGGTGTTAAACGCCATTTTCTTTGTCAGGAAAACTGACTATCCTAGTCAATTACGTCTGGAGTCTATTGCACTGCCATGTGAGGAATTCAAACTCACGACCTCAATATTGACATGCTAATACTACAGTTGATGAATTACATAGAACACTCCGTCTGAAAGTATACAATGCAATTAAGTTTTACAAGTAAAGAAAAGAATAAAATAAATTTTTTATGAGAACTGTGAGCATTCTAAACATATATTTAATTTGCTTTTTTTCCCTTTAACAGTTCATATGTGTACATACAGACCTGATTTGATTAGTCGATATGCAAGGTTATCAGCTGTATTGGAAATGGATGTTAGTCTAGCACAGCAAGCACAACGTGAGGTATGTAACATTTCAGGAAAATTCTATATACAATGTATTCACAATGAAAAAGTACACTTAACAGTTGAATACATCTTGATACAAAATAAAAATCACTTCACCTCTATAGAATCAAACTTGTAAAATTTATTATCCAGAAATGTTAAATAAGTTACATAAAAAAACATGTATATAATATGCATTTTGCTCTTTGTTGAAAGATGTACGATGACCTATAGTTGCATACATCAACATCATTTGGTCTCATTGGCAATAATTCCACATTTCCTTATTTTTATCTTGATACATTTATTTTCCTTGAGTCATAGTCAATCAAAACAGATTTGAATAGTGTTATGAGAATTTTTTGAGAGTCATTTATTAAGATTGTTGAATAAGTTTGTGGTCTTCGTCATGTTTGACAAAAAAAAACCAAGTACTAACTAAAATTATATTTTTTAGGCATTTTCTGATGAAGAAGTGAATGGTACCAGAGACAGAGTGGACAGATTAAACAGTTTACAACAATCTTTAGATCGTTCATGGAAAGGAACACGTTGGATTATGGATTTAATTACATTTGCAAGAGACAAATCATCGCGAGGTGGCATACCATGTAGTATGTTAGACAATTCCTCAAATGACGCATTCTCACCAAAGATTAATGAGGACAATGTGTTCGACAATAATAACTCTCACCCAAGTTGTGGATCAGCAGGTTGTGATTCAAATGAGATCAGTGTTGGTAAAGACAATCGCAAAATTGCTAAATTTTACGACCCAAATGAAGAAGTCTCCAAAAATAATGGGCATGTGCAAAAAGAATCTTCTCATTCATCATCTGGAATTTTACAAGTATATGTGGCATATGAAACCGGACTGTCAAAAGGAACGCGAGTAAGACTGCATGTGACAGAAAAAACTACAGCACGAGAAGTTGTGACGCTAGTTGTGAAACAATTAAACAAAGCAGTGACTTCAAAAGGAAAATCTGGTCCTATTTATGGTGAGGATGAACTTGATAAATTCTGTCTTGTGGCTGTGATAGGTGCTAGAGAAAGGATACTGCGGGACGATTATCATCCATTACAATTACAAAATCCATGGACTAAAGGCAAACTATATGTCAGAATGAAACGTAATTTATTAGCGGCCATTCAGCAGGGTCATGCAACAGAAGTATAGGATTGTGGCATTATCTCATTCATTTTAAAGTTGCCATTTGTTCAGTGCTTTCATATTTCCATATCATTTATACCATACAAGTGTGATAAAACGGTGATACAACTCTTTGTTTCTTTTTTTGTATTTTTTTTTAAGAATGCTGACTTTATATGCTGGTACCTATGTACCTAAATTAACTGTGATGAAGTATTTTGTAGTTGAAAGTTGAAGGTTGTAAGCTGATGAGTTTAATGAAGTTAATTAGTGCATAACAAGGATTGTGATCATGTCAATGTAGGAGAATATGTATTTGTTAATGTATATTGCAACTTTATTTATTTTGATTAATGTTAAGCGTTAATATTTATTAAAAGAAACAAAATACTCATTTTATTGTGAGGGAATTTATTATTTATTAATATTTAACATCATATCTGATTAATTGCATGATTTTGGGAATAATATCAAAGATATTGGTAAATCTTAAATCTGAAATTCAGAAATCAAAGACAATTGTAATGTTTTAATTTGAAAATCAAAATCAAAAAGATTTTAGGTAACACATTTCAATGTACTGTACATCATTTCTTTCACATAAATTTGTTTTGCTTTATTACTCATACAAACCTAGTCAAGCCATGTTATAAGTAGACTTTAAACAATGTCTAATAACTAGTCCAGTCACATATTAACTAATGACGATGATTCCATCCACATAATTTAATTTTCATCTTTTTGTTTGTATTGATTAATGTTTTCTCATCATGGGATATGACGTGCAATCAAAATACTGTGAAATTATGCAAAATTTGAATAGTACCATAGTTAAATTCTAATCTAAATTTACCAGTTATACATTTTTGGGTGATGAATGTGACTTTGTTACTTTGTCTTAGGAAACAACATATAACTGACTTCTAAGTCTGTAGTTGATAATTTGTAAGTTGTGTATCTTATTTGAGTTATCTAGTTAAAGACTTTCTTAATTGAAGAGAAATTATCTAAATCAGTTTCAAAAACTTTGGACAGAGATGGACACTGCACTCATTCATACAGCTTATGTCTGAATATCTCAAAGGTTAGAAGTAAGTTCAAACCGATTTAGGCATGTATACAAATGGTATCTAATGAATATTCATGATTTCACAGTATCACTAATTTTCTTCCATAATGAATTGTATTGATTTATATGTAGGAAGCTTTTTATGCTAGGTACATGTATAATGAAAACAGATATTGCAATGTATTTTCATTCAGAGCAGTTCTTTTAAATAAGAGCTTCGTCTCTTGACTGTTGATTTTTGGTTTATAAGCTATTCCAAGTCTTTCTGAAATTTTGAAGAACTGATCAAATTTTTTTTCTAATTTTGATATTTTTATACACAGAAATGACATAAGAGAAAAACAAGTTCTGATAATGAAAAAGGGGGGATTAAATTTATGTAATGAAAAGTAAATTCTGTAAAAAAAGTTATGAAATAATTTTATGTCCTTCAGTTTTATTTGGATTACTCAATTCTTTAAAAGAATAACATTGCACCAAAACAAAACATTCTTGATTTATAACCAAAGTATAATTAAGACCAAAATGTCTGTGTTTTGTCAAAGTAAACAAGTTTTTTTCTCATGCAACATACATTTGTACATGTATTTTTGTACATTAGCCAGCTATTTATGAGTTGTAATGACTTTGAATTGTTAACAGTTAAATAAAACATTAAAATCAATTTTTTTGTTATCCTAATTCCAGAACACACACTTGTTATAGCAAATTGGATTTCTGTCTTTTTATTTTTTTGTGTTGTTAGGTTGCTTGCACATTGATATATCCCTCATGTCTCTTGAGTTTTAATTTCCTTTTCGTCTCACCTACGACAAAAGTTGCAGAAGGCGAGACATAGGTGTTATTATTGCGGCAGCTGAGGCACCAACAATTGTTGTTTTCTGCTTAAGTTAGTTTGATAAGAACTTCTTGCGATAGATCAATAATATTTTCTATAAAGTTTTATAACTGTCAGTACATACCAGTTTGACAAATATTTTGAGGCCCTGCCCCCTATGTCATGCTCTAGAGACTTTAAATTTATAAGCATTCTTTCTGTTTTCTGTTTAAATCAGTTTGATAAGGTTTTTTGTCTTGCCTATGAAGAAAGTCGCAGTATACGAGACAAAGGTAGAAGATAGAAGAACTGAATGCTTCATACCTTGTGTACAGATACCTTATGTTACAAAGATTCCGTCTGTCATATGTCCGTTGCCCTTGACCTCATTTTCCTGGTTCAGTGACAGTTTGAAAAAAAAAAGTTTTTGTTAAGTGAAATATTCACTTATTATGAGTAATAGGATAATTATATTTGGTATATGAGTTCCTTGCAATGTCTACATGTCTGTCAGGTAGGGTTCACCTGACCATGACCTCATTCCATGGATCAAGGTTAAAGTTACATGGTCAAATTCCCATCTCAGATACTATAAGCTATAGTTCAATTATATTTGGTAATGGAATGAATGTAAGGTGTACATGTCAGACTGGAGATGTTTCATCTAACCTAAATCTCAATATCATGGTTCTTTGGACAATGTTTAGTTTTTGTGGTTTGGTCTATTTCTCAGATACTATAAGCAATGGGGCCACTCTTTTTGGTGTATGGATTAATTGAAAGGTGTACATGTCTGTCTGGCAGGTTTCATATGACGTTGACCTCATTTTCATGGTTCATTGAACAATGTTTAGTTTTTTAGGTTTGATCTATTTCTCAGATATTATAAGCAATAGGTCAATTATATTTAGTGTATGGAACAACTGTAAGGTGTACATGTCTGTCTGGCAGGGTTCATATGACCTTGGCCTCATTTTCATGGTTCATTGGTCAATGATAAGTTTTCGTAATTCAGTCAGTTTATCATCTACTATAAGCAATAGGTCAACTATATTTGGTGTCTGGAATGATTGTAAGTTGTACATGCCTGTCTTCCATGCTTCATCTGACCGTGACTTCATTTTCATGGATCATCAGTATAGTTAAGTATACTATATGTGATACTTGTAGTAAAACCATCATATTACAGACTTTCTACATGAATTCAATTACATGTATAAGTAAAACACGAGATATTTCAGCGTTGCACTCTTGTTTGTCTCATCTGCAAGAAATATCATGATAGTTAAGACAAAAGGTATTTTGCAATGCTTTGGTGGTCTTGTTTTAGTGTGCTGGCCTCTAGTGGCTGTGGGTGACTAGGTTCAATTCCCAGTAAGGTTAAACCAAGGACTTAAAAACTTGTATTTGCTGCTTCTCTACTAAGAGTAGGAACAAAGACTGGTCAGTTCAGATTCACTTGATTAACTTGTCATGGTAGGGTGACACATTAAAAGCCAGACATATTAACATGTTGGTCTAGTACAAAGCAGGGTTAATATTGATTTCACATCAACATGTTCTCATCTGAATATGCATGTAGTATTTGCCACTAGAAATCAAACATCAATCCATGATCATTGATTGTGGTCAAGAATTTCAATAACAACATCAATACACTTTTAAGTTTCTGCCAAAACTATCAGTTGTTAAGTACCTGGAATGGTAACTCTACACTATCAGTTGTTAAGTACCGGGTACGGTACTCTACACTATAAGTTGTTACCAGGTATGGTACTCTACACTATCAGTTGTTAAGTACCAGGTATGGTACTCTACACTATAAGTTGTTACCAGGTATGGTACTCTACACTATCAGTTGTTACCAGGTATGGTACTCTACACTATAAGTTGTTACCAGGTATGGTACTCTACATTATAAGTTGTTACCAGGTATGGTACTCTACACTATCAGTTGTTACCAGGTATGGTACTCTACACTATCAGTTGTTACCAGGTATGGTACTCTACACTATCAGTTGTTACCAGGTATGGTACTCTACACTATCAGTTGTTACCAGGTATGGTACTCTACACTATCAGTTGTTACCAGGTATGGTACTCTATACTATCAGTTGTTAAGTACCGGGTATGGTACTCTATACTATAAGTTGTTACCAGGTATGGTACTCTACACTATCAGTTGTTACCAGGTATGGTACTCTACACTATCAGTTGTTACCAGGTATGGTACTCTACACTATCTGTTGTTACCAGGTACGGTACTCTAATCTACACTATCAGTTGTTACCAGGTATGGTACTCTACACTATCTGTTGTTACCAGGTACGGTACTCTAATCTACACTATCAGTTGTTACCAGGTATGGTACTCTATACTATCAGTTGTTACCAGGTATGGTACTCTACACTATCAGTTGTTACCAGGTATGGTATTCTACACTATCAGTTGTAACCAGGTATGGTACTCTACACTATCAGTTGTTACCAGGTATGGTACTCTACACTGTCAGTTGTTAAGTACCAGGTATGGTACTCTACACTATCAGTTGTTAAGTACCAGGTATGGTACTCTACACTATCAGTTGTTACCAGGTATGGTACTCTACACTATATGTTGTTACCAGGTATGGTACTCTACACTATCAGTTGTTAAGTAGCAGGTATGGTACTCTACACTATAAGTTGTTACCAGGTATGGTACTCTACACTATCAGTTGTCAAGTACCAGGTATGGTACTCTACACTATCAGTTGTTACCAGGTATGGTACTCTACACTATCAGTTGTTACCAGGTATGGTACTCTACACTATCAGTTGTTACCAGGTCTGGTACTCTACACTATCAGTTGTTACCAGGTCTGGTACTCTACACTATAAGTTGTTACCAGGTATGGTACTCTACATTATAAGTTGTTACCAGGTATGGTACTCTACACTATCAGTTGTTACCAGGTATGGTACTCTACACTATAAGTTGTTACCAGGTATGGTACTCTACACTATAAGTTGTTACCAGGTATGATACTCTACACTATAAGTTGTTACCTGGTATGGTACTCTACACTATCAGTTGTTACCAGGTATGGTACTCTACACTATCAGTTGTTACCAGGTATGGTACTCTATACTATCAGTTGTTACCAGGTATGGTACTCTACACTATAAGTTGTTAAGTACCAGGTATGGTACTCTACACTATAAGTTGTTACCAGGTATGGTACTCTACACTATAAGTTGTTACCAGGTATGGTACTCTATACTATCAGTTGTTACCAGGTATGGTACTCTACACTATAAGTTGTTAAGTACCAGGTATGGTACTCTACACTATCAGTTGTTACCAGGTATGGTACTCTACACTATCAGTTGTTACCAGGTATGGTACTCTACACTATCAGTTGTTACCAGGTATGGTAGTCTACACTATCAGTTGTTACCAGGTATGGTACTCTACACTATCAGTTGTTACCAGGTATGGTACTCTACACTATCAGTTGTTAAGTACCGGGTACGGTACTCTATACTATCAGTTGTTACCAGGTATGGTACTCTACACTATCAGTTGTTAAGTACCGGGTATGGTACTCTACACTATCAGTTGTTACCAAGTATGGTAACTCTACACTATCAGTTGTTAAGTACCGGATACGGTACTCTACACTATCAGTTGTTACCAGGTATGGTACTCTACACTATCAGTTGTTAAGTACCGGGTACGGTACTCTACACTATCAGTTGTTAAGTACCGGGTACGGTACTCTACACTATCAGTTGTTACCAGGTATGGTACTCTACACTATCAGTTGTTACCAGGTATGTTACTCTTCACTATCAGTTGTTACCAGGTATGGTACTCTACACTATCAGTTGTTACCAGGTATGGTACTCTACACTATCAGTTGTTACCAGGTATGGTACTCTACACTATCAGTTGTTACCAGGTACGGTACTCTACACTATCAGTTGTTAACAGGTACGGTACTCTACACTATCAGTTGTTACCAGGTATGGTACTCTACACTATCAGTTGTTACCAGGTACGGTACTCTACACTATCAGTTGTTAAGTACCAGGTATGGTACTCTACACTATCAGTTGTTACCAGGTATGGTACTCAACACTATCAGTTGTTAAGTACCGGGTACGTTACTCTATACTATCAGTTGTTACCAGGTATGGTACTCTACACTATCAGTTGTTAAGTACCAGGTATGGTACTCTACACTATCAGTTGTTACCGGGTATGGTACTCTACACTATCAGTTGTTACCAGGTATGGTACTCTACACTATCAGTTGTTACCAGGTACGGTACTCTACACTATCAGTTGTTACCAGGTATGGTACTCTACACTATCAGTTGTTACCAGGTATGGTACTCTACACTATCAGTTGTTACCAGGTATGGTACTCTACACTATCAGTTGTTAAGTACCGGGTACGGTACTCTATACTATCAGTTGTTACCAGGTACGGTACTCTATACTATCAGTTGTTACCAGGTATGGTACTCTACACTCTCAGTTGTTAAGTACCAGGTATGGTACTCTACACTATCAGTTGTTACCGGGTATGGTACTCTACACTATCAGTTGTTACCAGGTATGGTACTCTACACTATCAGTTGTTACCAGGTATGGTACTCTACACTATCAGTTGTTACCGGGTATGGTACTCTACACTATCAGTTGTTACCGGGTATGGTACTCTACACTATCAGTTGTTACCGGGTATGGTACTCTACACTATCAGTTGTTACCAGGTATGGTACTCTACACTATCAGTTGTTACCAGGTACGGTACTCTACACTATCAGTTGTTACCAGGTATGGTACTCTACACTATC